CACTGAACCAACACAACAAGAGTGACAACAGTGACAACAGCCATCACTGAACCAACATAACAAGATTAACAACAGTGACAACAACCATCACTAAACAAACACAACAAGAGTGACAACAGGCATGACTGAGCCAACACAACAAGAGTGATAACAGTGACAACAGGCATCACTAAACTAACGTAATAAGAATGACAACAGTGACAACAGTCATCACTGAACCAAGGCAACAAGAATGAGAATGCACTACAACTCGTGCAGTATCCTGGAGAAAAACTCCAGGATACAGTACAGTACAGTGGTCCAAACATTCCCAGTACAGTGGTCCAAACATTCCTAGTACAGTGGTTCCAAACATTCCTAGTACAGTGGTCCAAACATTCCTAGTACAGTGGTTCCAAACATTCCTAGTACAGTGGTCCAAACATTCCCAGTACAGTGGTCCAAACAATCCTAGTACAGTGGTCCAAACATTCCTAGTGCAGTGGTCCAAAAATTCCTAGTACAGTGGTCCAAACATTCCTAGTTCAGTAGTCCAAACATTCCTAGTACAGTGGTCCAAACATTCCTAGTACAGTGGTCCAAACATTCCCAGTACAGTGGTCCAAACATTCCTAGTACAGTGGTCCAAACATTCCTAGTACAGTTGTCCAAACATTCCTAGTACAGTGGTCCAAACATTCCCAGTACAGTGGTCCAAACATTCCTAGTACAGTGGTCCAAACATTCCTAGTACAGTGGTCCAAACATTCCTAGTACAGTGGTTAAAAACATTCCCAGTACAGTGGTCCAAACATTCCTAGTACAGTGGTCCAAACATTCCTAGACCAGTGGTCCAAACATTTCTAGTACAGTGGTCCAAACATTCCCAGTACAGTGGTCCAAACATTCCTAGTACAGTGGTTCCAAACATTCCTAGTACAGTGGTCCAAACATTCCCAGTACAGTGGTCCAAACAATCCTAGTACAGTGGTCCAAACATTCCTAGTGTAGTGGTCCAAAAATTCCTAGTACAGTGGTCCAAACATTCCTAGTTCAGTAGTCCAAACATTCCTAGTACAGTGGTCCAAACATTCCTAGTACAGTGGTCCAAACATTCCCAGTACAGTGGTCCAAACATTCCTAGTACAGTGGTCCAAACATTCCTAGTACAGTGGTCCAAACATTCCTAGTACAGTGGTCCAAACATTCCCAGTACAGTGGTCCAAACATTCCTAGTACAGTGGTCCAAACATTCCTAGTACAGTGGTCCAAACATTCCTAGTACAGTGGTTAAAAACATTCCCAGTACAGTGGTCCAAACATTCCTAGTACAGTGGTCCAAACATTCCTAGACCAGTGGTCCAAACATTTCTAGTACAGTGGTCCAAACATTCCCAGTACAGTGGTCCAAACATTCCCAGTACAGTGGTCCAAACATTCCTAGTACAGTGGTCCAAACATTCCCAGTACAGTGATCCAAACATTCCCAGTACAGTGGTTCAAACATTCCCAGTACAGTGGTCCAAACATACCCAGTACAGTGGTCCAAACATTCCCAGTACAGTGGTCCAAACATTCCCAGTACAGTGGTCCAAACATTCCCAGTACAGTGGTCCAAACATTCCCAGTACAGTGGTCCAAACATTCCCAGTACAGTGGTCCAAACATTCCCAGTACAGTGGTCCAAACATTCCCAGTACAGTGGTTCAAACATTCCCAGTACAGTGGTCCAAACATACCCAGTACAGTGGTCCAAACATTCCCAGTACAGTGGTCCAAACATTCCCAGTACAGTGGTCCAAACATTCCCAGTACAGTGGTCCAAACATTCCCAGTACAGTGGTCCAAACATTCCCAGTACAGTGGTCTAAACATTCCCAGTACAGTGGTCCAAACATTCCCAGTACAGTGGTCCAAACATTCCCAGTACAGTGGTCCAAACATTCCCAGTACAGTGGTCTAAACATTCCCAGTACAGTGGTCCAAACATTCCCAGTACAGTGGTCCAAACATTCCCAGTACAGTGGTCCAAACATTCCCAGTACAGTGGTCCAAACATTCCCAGTACAGTGGTCTAAACATTCCCAGTACAGTGGTCCAAACATTCCCAGTACAGTGGTCCAAACATTCCCAGTACAGTGGTCCAAACATTTCCAGTACAGTGGTCCAAACATTCCCAGTACAGTCTTCCAAACATTTCCAGTACAGTGGTCCAAACATTCCCAGTACAGTGGTCCAAACATTCCCAGTACAGTGGTCCAAACATTTCCAGTACAGTGGTCCAAACATTTCCAGTACAGTGGTCCAAACATTCCCAGTACAGTGGTCCAAACATTCCCAGTACAGTGGTCCAAACATTTCCAGTACAGTGGTCCAAACATACCCAGTACACTGATGTTCTCAGTGGCCCAAACATTTCCTGAACATTGAGAATATACTGAAAAGAAAATATTAATACTGAGAGAATGCTGATGATGTTCCGTTTTGTATCCCGTAGCTGGATTGCTAGAGCACTCAGCTTACACACTGAGGTCCAGGGGTCGATCCCCGGCACGGCTGGAAACATTAGGACGTATTTCCTTAAGGTTACTGTTGTCCATGTTTACTTATCAGTCAAATAGGTACCTGGGTGTTAGTCGACTGGTGTGGGTCGCATCCCGGGGATAAAATTGCCCTAATTTGCCCGAAATGCTTTGCATAGCCAGGAGCTTTCTGTATAGTAATATGTCATTGATGTCAGCTAGGCCTGTATACCTTGTACATGTACTTTCAGAAATAAAGATACATTTGTTTCATGTCTACTGCCTCCAAGGCACTATGTTGACACTGCCTCCCAGGCACTATGTTGACACTGCCTCCCAGGTACTATGTTGACACTGCCTCCCAGGTACTATGTTGACACTGCCTCCAAGGCACTATGTTGACACTGCCTCCCAGGCACTATGTTGACACTGCCTCCCAGGTACTATGTTGACACTGCCTCCCAGGTACTATGTTGACACTGCCTCCAAGGCACTATGTTGACACTGCCTCCCAGGCACTATGTTGACACTGCCTCCCAGGCACTATGTTGACACTGCCTCCCAGGTACTATGTTGACACTGCCTCCAAGGCACTATGTTGACACTGCCTCCCAGGCACTATGTTGACACTGCCTCCAAGGCACTATGTTGACACTGCCTCCAAGGCACTATGTTGACACTGTCTCCCAGGCACTATGTTGACACTGCCTCCCAGGTACTATGTTGACACTGCCTCCCAGGAACTATGTTGACACTGCCTCCCAGGCACTATGTTGACACTGCCTCCCAGGCACTATGTTGACACTGCCTCCAAGGCACTATGTTGACACTGCCTCCCAGGCACTATGTTGACACTGCCTCCCAGGCACTATGTTGACACTGCCTCCCAGGTACTATGTTGACACTGCCTCCCAGGCACTATGTTGACACTGCCTCCAAGGCACTATGTTGACACTACCTCCCAGGCACTATGTTGACACTGCCTCCCAGGCACTATGTTGACACTGCCTCCCAGGTACTATGTTGACACTGCCTCCCAGGTACTATGTTGACACTGCCTCCCAGGCACTATGTTGACACTGCCTCCCAGGTACTATGTTGACACTGCCTCCCAGGCACTATGTTGACACTGCCTCCCAGGTACTATGTTGACACTGCCTCCCAGGCACTATGTTGACACTGCCTCCCAGGCACTATGTTGACACTGCCTCCCAGGCACTATGTTGACACTGCCTCCCAGGTACTATGTTGACACTGCCTCCCAGGCACTATGTTGACACTGCCTCCCAGGTACTATGTTGACACTGCCTCCCAGGCACTATGTTGACACTGCCTCCCAGGCACTATGTTGACACTGCCTCCCAGGCACTATGTTGACACTGCCTCCCAGGTACTATGTTGACACTGCCTCCCAGGCACTATGTTGACACTGCCTCCCAGGTACTATGTTGACACTGCCTCCCAGGCATTATGTTGTCACTGCTTCCCAGGTACTATGTTGACACTGCCTCCCAGGCACTATGTTGACACTGCCTCCCAGGTACTATGTTGACACTGCCTCCCAGGCACTATGTTGACACTGCCTCCCAGGCACTATGTTGACACTGCCTCCCAGGTACTATGTTGACACTGCCTCCCAGGCACTATGTTGACACTGCCTCCCAGGCACTATGTTGACACTGCCTCCCAGGTACTATGTTGACACTGCCTCCCAGGCACTATGTTGACACTGCCTCCCAGGCACTATGTTGACACTGCCTCCCAGGTACTATGTTGACACTGCCTCCCAGGCATTATGTTGTCACTGCTTCCCAGGCACTATGTTGACACTGCCTCCCAGGCACTATGTTGACACTGCCTCCCAGGTACTATGTTGACACTGCCTCCCAGGCACTATGTTGACACTGCCTCCCAGGCACTATGTTGACACTGCCTCCCAGGTACTATGTTGACACTGCCTCCCAGGCACTATGTTGACACTGCCTCCCAGGCACTATGTTGACACTGCCTCCCAGGTACTATGTTGACACTACCTCCCAGGCACTATGTTGACACTGCCTCCCAGGCACTATGTTGACACTGCCTCCCAGGCACTATGTTGTCACTGCCTCCCAGGCACTATGTTGTCACTGCCTCCCAGGCACTATGTTGACACTGCCTCTCCGGTACGATGTACCTGCGATGTATGTGACATACACCTCAGGTGTATGTGATATGCTTGCTGTAGTGTGACGGTGGTGTCACCCCATTTTTGTTTTCATTTCTCTGCCCCTTTTCCTATCTCTCCCATTACTACCTCACACACCGCCCACTGCCTCCTCCCACCTAACCCATCACCCCTACCCCCTCCCGCTACCTCCACCCCCTCCCATTACCCCTACCCCCTCACATTACCCCCTCCCCTTCACACGTAGACAAATGACCAGCATTACAGTCGTAGCTACCCACGATTCACATCGTCAAATTTACTCTAAATGGAAATGGGGCGTCTTGTGGAAATGTTGCCAGAGCCAATTTACAGGGATCTGGGATAGTCGTTGAGGCATGGGGGAGAGGAGTCCCTTGTGGGGGTGCCAGGTGTCTGGCACTCCTGCCCTGGCTTTCTTCAGTGCCCAGGATGGCACCCCGCTAGAAAAGCATCGACATGTTCCTTAAACCCGAGATTATTTGGTATCAATGGAGCTGTTTTAACTTTGTATTGCTGTGAAATATGGATTACCAATACCCGGGAGACGATATGAGGGAGTAATGGTGGTTAATGGTGCCGGGGAAGAGTGCCAGGGGCCAGCTTGTCGCCGGCACCGGCTGCTTCCTCGGGTGCCATCAATACGTGCCGCTCTTGCTCACAAGCCTCCGCCGGCGGCACTCTAGCCCACCAGCCAATCACCGCAGCCCGGGGAGTGACGTCATGCCTGCCACAGCCAATCACAGCCTCGGCTGCGTTCCTGCCATTCCAAAGGGGTGCCGCTGGAATCCTGGATGCCAGACATCGCACGAGCGAGTAACTCAAAGTGACCCGCAAATGTGCCCAGGGTTAGGAACATTGATGCTGTGGTGGCCAGGAGTGGCCAGAGTGGTGGCGTGTGGCCGCGGGCGCAGGCAGAGGCCAGGAAGGGCCAGGGTGGCGTGGCTGGAGGTAAAGGTAAGCGTCGGGAGGTAGCGGGCAGCGAGGAGCAGCAGAGGTGTTGAGGGGAGGTGCCAGTGTGGTGGTGCGTGCCAGGCCTCGTCTCCTGCGGTGCTGGTGGCTGCTGCACGCCCTCGCCCGCCTCTCCCACGCCTTCACCTGCTGCTCCGCCAGGCGAGCACGCCGCCTCTACCCTAGTGCCGCGCCCTCAGTCCCAGCCTGCCCTTCGTGCCTTCGCCAGGCGCCCGCTCGCCCGCCTCCTCCTTCCCCACCAGCTCACTAGTGCTCCTAGCAGGTGACCTACCTAGGTGACCCACCTAGGTGACCTACCTAGGTAATTCACCTAGCTGGTGACCTACCTGCCATTCCAATCACCGCGTTCAGTCGCGCCGCCCACAGGTAAGTTCAATACACACGCCCGCCCATCTCACTATTCTGAAAGGCAACCCGCACCTCATAAAAAATACCACCAAAAATTTTGAATCTCAAATATCATAACAATAAAAGAAAAAATACCACCTTCCATGATTCTTTCTCTCAAGAATTACCTGGAGGAGGGAAGATATCACCCAGAATATCATGCCTCTCTCCTTCCTAGAGCAATACAGGCAAAGTAGCACACTACTTTCTGGGATAGGTTCCTTTCACACAGCTCTAGGCTCCCAGGTAGCTGAATGCACCATGTTGGAACTCAAGAACAGCAAAGGTCACAGTCGAGGTTGCTTGCATATTTGCATACGGGCGACAATCAATACCTGGTGTTGGTGGTTGTGTAGGTGGTCATGCGCGCTCGACGCCTACCTGCTCACCTCTTCACGGAACAAACCAAGAACTTCACCAAATTTGCCGAATCGTTCCTTCCACCTTAAGGCTTGTGGCATGTGTGGGGCTCAGGGCTGGTTGTTAACTTTGAGGGACTTGGCCAACGTAAACTTATCCAGGTTATAATAACTTCGTTACTCTCTGGAGTTGATGCAGAGATGCGAATGTTTTCGAGGTAAATCATTATCTTTTTAATTTCATGTGTTCCTCGTCGTATGTGAGCCGCCGAGATTTTTGAACATCTACTGACGTACACGAGCTACGGTTTTTTCGTACACCTAAAAAACAAAGAATAACCTCACAGTGTCCTTGGAAAATATATTAGCAGTCACACGAAAGGAACAAAATCAAATGCGAAAAGGAGCGTATACGTTTTTTGTTTTGCCACTTATTTCTTATTTATCTAAGAGCATTCTCCGCCTGTTACGTTCACTATAAATATGCAAGCGTATTATGCTTAAATATTTATAGTGAACCTAAAAATACGCGGAGACTGTTTTCTTTAATTAACCTATGTATCATCACGGTCGGTCTCGTTCTCCTCCGCGCATGATGAGCGAGGCAGACCAGTTTACTGGGATGTAAAAGACCAGAGCGTACGCAGACCAAAGTAGTTGCAGACAAGAGTATGGGCAGACCAGAGTGGACATAGACCAAAGTAGGCGTAGATCAGAGTCGAGGCAGACCAGAGTGGAGGCAGATTAAAGTGGAGGCAGACCAGAGTCGAGGCAGACCAGAGTCTAGGCAGACCAGAGTCGAGGCAGACCAGAGTCTAGGCAGACCAGAGTAGGAAAAGACCAAAGTAGGCGTAGACCAGAGTGGAGGCAGACCAGAGTGGCAGCAGACCAGAGTAGAGGTAGGCCAGAGTTGGGGCAGACCAGAGTAGAGGTAGGCCATAGTAGAGGCAGACCAGAGTAGAGGTAGGCCAGAGTAGGGGTAGAGCAGAGTAGAGGTAGACCAGAGTAGAGGTAGGCCAGAGTGGGGGTAGATCAGAGTAGAGGTAGGCAAGAGTAGGGGTAAACCAGAGTAGAGGTAGGCCAGAGTAGGGTTAGACCAGAGTAGAGGTAGACCAGAGTAGAGGTAGGCCAGAGTGGGGGTAGACTAGAGCAGAGGTAGGCCAGAGAAGGGGCAGACCAGAGAAGAGGTAGGCCAGAGTAGGGGTAAACCAGAGTAGAGGTAGACCAGAGTAGAGGTAGGCCAGAGTAGGGGTAAACCAGAGTAGAGGTAGGCCAGAGTAGGGGTAAACCAGAGTAGAGGTAGGCCAGAGTAGGGTAAACCAGAGTAGAGGTAGGCCAGAGTAGGGGTAAACCAGAGTAGAGGTAGGCCAGAGTAGGGGTAAACCAGAGTAGAGGTAGGCCAGAGTAGGGGTAAACCAGAGTAGAGGTAGGCCAGATTAGGGGTAAACCAGAATAGAGGTAGGCCAGAATAGGGGTAAACCAGAGTAGAGGTAGGCCAGAGTAGGGGTAAGCCAGAGTAGAGGTAAGCCAGAATAGGGGTAAACCAGAGTAGAGGTAGGCCAGAGTAGGGGTAAACCAGAGTAGAGGTAGGCCAGAGTGAGGGTAAACCAGAGTAGAGGTAGGCCAGAGTAGGGGTAAACCAGAGTAGAGGTAGGCCAGAGTAGGGGTAAACCAGAGTAGAGGTAGGCCAGAGTAGGGGTAAACCAGAGTAGAGGTAGGCCAGAGTGGGGGTAAACCAGAGTAGAGGTAGGCCAGAGTAGGGGTAAACCAGAGTAGAGGTAGGCCAGAGTAGGGGTAAACCAGAGTAGAGGTAGGCCAGAGTAGGGGTAAACCAGAGTAGAATTAGGCCAGAGTAGGGGTAAACCAGAGTAGAGGTAGGCCAGAGTAGGGGTAAACCAGAGTAGAGGTAGGCCAGAGTAGGGGTAAACCAGAGTAGAGGTAGGCCAGATTAAGGGTAAACCAGAATAGAGGTAGGCCAGAATAGGGGTAAACCAGAGTAGAGGTAGGCCAGAGTAGGGGTAAGCCAGAGTAGAGGTAGGCCAGAGTAAAGGTAAACCAGAGTAGAGGTAGGCCAGAGTGGGGGTAAACCAGAGTAGAGGTAGGCCAGAGTAGGGGTAAACCAGAGTAGAGGTAGGCCAGAGTAGGGGTAACCCAGAGTAGAGGTAGGCCAGAGTAGGGGTAAACCAGAGTAGAGGTAGGCCAGAGTGGGGGTAAACCAGAGTAGAGGTAGGCCAGAGTAGGGGTAAACCAGAGTAGAGGTAGGCCAGAGTGGGGGTAAACCAGAGTAGAGGTAGGCCAGAGTAGGGGTAAACCAGAGTAGAGGTAGGCCAGAGTAAAGGTAAACCAGAGTAGAGGTAGGCCAGAGTGGGGGTAAACCAGAGTAGAGGTAGGCCAGAGTAGGGGTAAACCAGAGTAGAGGTAGGCCAGAGTAGGGGTAAACCAGAGTAGAGGTAGGCCAGAGTAGGGGTAAACCAGAGTAGAGGTAGGCCAGAGTAGGGGTAAACCAGAGTAGAGGTAGGCCAGAGTAGGGGCAAACCAGAGTAGAGGTAGGCCAGAGTAGGGGTAAACCAGAGTAGAGGTAGGCCAGAGTGGGGTAAACCAGAGTAGAGGTAGGCCAGAGTAGGGGTAAACCAGAGTAGAGGTAGGCCAGAGTAGGGGCAAACCAGAGTAGAGGTAGGCCAGAGTAGGGGTAAACCAGAGTAGAGGTAGGCCAGAGTAGGGGTAAACCAGAGTAGAGGTAGGCCAGAGTGGGGGTAAACCAGAGTAGAGGTAGGCCAGAGTAGGGGTAAACCAGAGTAGAGGTAGGCCAGAGTGGGGGTAAACCAGAGTAGAGGTAGGCCAGAGTGGGGGTAAACCAGAGTAGAGGTAGGCCAGAGTAGGGGTAAACCAGAGTAGAGGTAGGCCAGAGTAGGGGTAAACCAGAGTAGAGGTAGGCCAGAGTAGGGGTAAACCAGAGTAGAGGTAGGCCAGAGTAGGGGTAAACCAGAGTAGAGGTAGGCCAGAGTAGGGGTAAACCAGAGTAGAGGTAGGCCAGAGTAGGGGTAAACCAGAGTAGAGGTAGGCCAGAGTAGGGGTAAACCAGAGTAGAGGTAGGCCAGAGTAGGGGTAAACCAGAGTAGAGGTAGGCCAGAGTGGGGGTAAACCAGAGTAGAGGTAGGCCAGAGTAGGGGTAAACCAGAGTAGAGGTAGGCCAGAGTGGGGGTAAACCAGAGTAGAGGTAGGCCAGAGAGGGGGTAAACCAGAGTAGAGGTAGGCCAGAGTAGGGGTAAACCAGAGTAGAGATAGGCCAGAGTAGGGGTAAACCAGAGTAGAGGTAGGCCAGAGTAGGGGTAAACCAGAGTAGAGGTAGGCCAGAGTAGGGGCAAACCAGAGTAGAGGTAGGCCAGAGTAGGGGTAAACCAGAGTATAGGTAGGCCAGAGTAGGGGTAAACCAGAGTATAGGTAGGCCAGAGTAGGGGTAAACCAGAGTAGAGGTAGGCCAGAGTAGGGGTAAACCAGAGTAGAGGTAGGCCAGAGTAGGGGTAAACCAGAGTAGAGGTAGGCCAGAGTAGGGGTAAACCAGAGTAGAGGTAGGCCAGAGTAGGGGTAAACCAGAGTAGAGGTAGGCCAGAGTGGGGGTAAACCAGAGTAGAGGTAGGCCAGAGTAGGGGCAAACCAGAGTAGAATTAGGCCAGAGTAGGGGTAAACCAGAGTAGAGGTAGGCCAGAGTAGGGGTAAACCAGAGTAGAATTAGGCCAGAGTAGGGGTAAACCAGAGTATAGGTAGGCCAGAGTAGGGGTAAACCAGAGTAGAGGTAGGCCAGAGTAGGGGTAAACCAGAGTAGAGGTAGGCCAGAGTAGGGGTAAACCAGAGTAGAGGTAGGCCAGAGTAGGGGTAAACCAGAGTAGAGGTAGGCCAGAGTAGGGTAAACCAGAGTAGAGGTAGGCCAGAGTGGGGGTAAACCAGAGTAGAGGTAGGCCAGAGTAGGGGTAAACCAGAGTAGAATTAGGCCAGAGTAGGGGTAAACCAGAGTAGAGGTAGGCCAGAGTAGGGGTAAACCAGAGTAGAATTAGGCCAGAGTAGGGGTAAACCAGAGTAGAGGTAGGCCAGAGTGGGGGTAAACCAGAGTAGAGGTAGGCCAGAGTGGGGGTAAACCAGAGTAGAGGTAGGCCAGAGTGGGGGTAAACCAGAGTAGAGGTAGGCCAGAGTGGGGGTAAACCAGAGTAGAGGTAGGCCAGAGTGGGGGTAAACCAGAGTAGAGGTAGGCCAGAGTGGGGGTAAACCAGAGTAGAGGTAGGCCAGAGTGGGGGTAAACCAGAGTAGAGGTAGGCCAGAGTGGGGGTAAACCAGAGTAGAGGTAGGCCAGAGTGGGGGTAAACCAGAGTAGAGGTAGACCAGAGTGGGGGTAAACCAGAGTAGAGGTAGGCCAGAGTGGGGGTAAACCAGAGTAGAGGTAGGCCAGAGTGGGGGTAAACCAGAGTAGAGGTAGGCCAGAGTGGGGGTAAACCAGAGTAGAGGTAGGCCAGAGTGGGGGTAAACCAGAGTAGAGGTAGGCCAGAGTGGGGGTAAACCAGAGTAGAGGTAGGCCAGAGTGGGGGTAAACCAGAGTAGAGGTAGGCCAGTGTGGGGGTAAACCAGAGT